GTGTGTGTGTGTGTGTGTGTGTGTGTGTGTGTGTGTGTGTGTGTGTGAGATTGGGTTTCTTTTTCCTGCCCTATCCCTACCTGCTTTTAGGGGGTAGCCTTTATAGAATATCAAGTGAATATATGACGGGAATCAATCAATGGAAAATCACAAAAAGACGAACTAGACGAAGACATTGAGAAGAGACAAGAAGAGGGGAAAGAAAATGGCAAAGACAACAGAGACGACACACAACACGGAAAAGAGAACAGACAGACAAGACTGGTTGGAATTAAACATTAGTGTGAATAACAAGTACATTTCTAAAGACACTTCTGCTCTGCGTTTAGCTGCTTTGTCACTCGATTCAGCTCCGCAGGACATGAGCCTGTATGGGTCTTTGTTCTGCAGCGCGCTGATCTAAGCGCTCCTCGTTTGGTTTTACAGCTTTAATGGCTACTGATCGGGTCACTGTACCATAATGTGCACTATCAGGGCCCACTTCCAACAACAGCCAATGTTGAGTCCATTAAACAGAAATCTGCAGAGTAGACCCCCCCAAATATACACAGGATAATGTGGTTACTGTGGCGTCTGCCGGTCTCATCAGCGGCAGCCGGCAGTGAAAAAGCTCTTTTAAAAAAAAAAAAAAAAAAAAAAAAAAAAAAAAAAAAAAAAAAAAAAAAAAAGCACTGTAAGCTAACTGCTCAGCAACAAATGGCAAGACCGACAAAATAAGCAACACGGCGGAGCATTGAGCAGTTAAAGAGCCAGATCTTTCCCTCAGGAGCTGGTGGAGACCAAAACAGAGCTAAACAGGGTCAATGTTGACTCCGAATGAGTGCCGATGTCGCTCCCTATCCGCTCTCCGTGTGTCTTGAAACGCTCAAGCTGATATGTCGGTGTTTACAACTTGTTTAGAGCTTAATTTCACTGCCAAAAGTGGCCAAAAACATCCACCAATGCAGATGTAATCAACGATAGTCAATAGTGTCACTGATAATCTCCTGGCGTTAGGGTACAATTGAGCTACAAACATTCCTCCTATTCTAAAGGAAAGACTAGATGTAGCACTTTAAAAAGAACACTGAATTATTAAATACATTTTTTTTGCTTGTGATTCTCTCCGTCGAGGGCCCGGGGCTGTGTTTCTTAAGGAAAAGTAAGACAGGTGGACAGTTCTGGTGTTTGACCTACAAACGCCTTCAAATGTTACTATTTGTATACGCATTTGTGCGAGAGGTATTCAGACAGCATGTCTACATCGCCCACGGTGTGTGTGTGTGTGTGTGTTTGTGTGTGTAAAATAGTATCCTTTTGTAATCATTCTCTAAGGAATGAATTCTGACTCGAGAGAATGGACTACCTTCACCATCCACTCGTGAGCTTGCGTACAAAAGGGAGGGAGGGAAAGAGAAGGGAAAGGGAGGGCAATGCGGTAGAAGAAGGACAAATAGACGGCAGGAGAAGAAGAGCGAACGAGGGAGAGCACCACGGCACCAGAGAGAGTGCGTCTCACACTTCCTACCCCTCCACAAAAAGGAGCGGAATTAGTCCTACCTCATGAAAGAGCCAGCGCTCTCTCTCTCTCTCTCTCTCTCTCTCTCTCTCTCTCTGCGTCAGAAAGCAGGAACACCTAACAACAACAAGGCAGCACGTCAACCTTGTGTAAGATATGTAAGATGTCAGCCCGGGCACGTTTGAAGGTTTTGCTGGCTGTGTACGTTATTGGAGGCTCATCAGCGCATTGGAGATGCAGGGGAACAAAGAGCGGCGTGGCACCTTGAAGATCTGACGAGACGTGGGATTCGCCCACAGAGAAAAGCAAAGAGAGAGAGAGAGAGGAGAAACAAATGCAGGGATGGAGAATGGAGAGAATGACGGCGATGGTAAAGGAGAAGAGTGAAGGACAGGAGAAGCTAAATAAAGAGGAACAGAGTCACAGGAAACGGCCGTTTGTTAGGTTCACCTAGCTAAAACGAACGAGCTAACACAAAGAACAGCCCCGTTCATGAACGCTACCTTAAAATAGGTTTCTTCATTTAGTGTTTGTTGTTGATCCAACTTCATTTTGGAGGCTGCACGGATTGCATTATGCCACAGGAAGTGAACGAAAGTAGAAGCTACAATAAAAGTAGAGAAAACCCTTTAAAAAGGAGCACTCATTAGGCCGGAGTGAAAGGCTGCGTGCCTGAAGCAGTGCAGAGAAGCAGAGGAGTCTGGGAGTCCAGCCGGTTTGCACGCTTGCCACCACTTCAACTTGTGCATCCCTAATTGTATCGCTGCGACCACACAGAGTGACCGGAGTGTGCGAGGTTTAGTCCGCAGAGCGGTTTCCACTCGGCGGCTCTGTTTTGAACGGCTTCAGAGAGAGCTCCATGGGCCGAGTCACAGCACAAAAGAAACACAGCGTACATGTGGAAGGTATATATATATATATATATATATATATATATATATATATATATGGAATGGAAGCTCACATCACAGGGGAAGCATAAAGAGCTGTGTGGCCACTTAAAAACTTTATAAAGCACATGGGGGCAATTCCCAATCGCTTACCGTTTGGACGCTTTCTACAGTATATTCTGGAAAAGCCCCATAAGAACTCCCAATAGGTGATTGAAAAAGGTGTCGTTTCTCTTGTGCCTATCTAATAACAGAAGATTACTAGAGAAACTGTATTATGTTGATTTGTAGCTGTTCATACTACATTAACAGTCGTATTAAAACCGTACAATGATGACTTTTCACGACCGTGTTTTGTACCCGACACAGTACGTTTGTACTGGGAAAGAAATGAAGTTGTGGGATTAAAATAAATGTGGTGCAACGAGCGCACGCAGGCCCGCCCACAGGTTAATGCTCCGTCTCGCACACGTACTGTATTTGCTTGGATGAAAGGGACTCACGAGCACATTGAGACAACAAACAGAGACTCGAGCGCCGGGTAACTCAAAAGACGATGAGGTAGATGGAAGAAAAGGGGGGTGGGGTGGGTCGGGGGTGGGGGGGTGACACTTACCGATGTACTCAAAGACGTAGACGACAAAGAACGGCGTGACCAGGTCGTTGATGCCTTGCACATACCCGCTGGCTGGATGGCGGATGGCCCAGATGAAGAGGATCCGCTCAAAGATCTTGCACACAAAACGGTACACAAGAGAGACACGGTGTCAAAAAACAACATCTGCATTACAGGAATTAAAAGCACAAAAGGCAGCTGATTGATAACGACACGAGAGAAAAACAACAGCGACGGAGAAGCTAAAAGTCAGGAAAATGTCCGGTGGATTTGTCAATTTTGTCAAATTTTCGCTCGACAGACGAACACATTAACTGTTATGTTAATAATGAAGCGCGTTCACTGACGCCGTCGATAGTTATTGTCTGACAGACGAACATTAGGCCTTTTAAATGACGGAATGAAGGTTTTGATCAGTTTAGGAAGTGTGCGAGGCACGTGAAGGTAGAAATCAGAACAGAGCCGAGCTGGTGAGGAGGAAAGCAGCTGAATACTTTCTGTGGGAGACCGGCAGGAACACCGTGGATGTGGGTATTGAACTTTGAGCGGACATTAACTTGGTTTAAACTCTGACTTCACCAGAGCAATCACCTCCATGATCACAGAATTAGAACGCATGGGCATATGTATTTGTGGATGTGTGAGACCTAAATTAATTACTGGCATCGCTCTAGAATCGGCGCCCGAGGACGCACTCAGACTTTTATGGAGTGGCGGTAACACGCAAAATAACGTAGCAAAGCGCTAACAACGACACGCAGGAAAAGGGCCGCAAGCTAGGAAATATAGATTAAACAATTAAGGATTTACATAATGAAACTAAATGTTTTATGAGGAAGGAAATGCATTTAAATTGTCTGTTAGACCCGAAGGAGACACTGTTAGAAACACTGACTGTGCATAGAACTGTTGTTTGTTTACAAGACAGCTCCACATGGTGCCTTCAATGGCATACGTTCTAATAATAGTTTATAATATTGACTTTCAAGAAGAAAAAAATTGCATCAAATGCACTTTCCTAAAGATGATATTAGTTGAGTTAAATATCACATAATTGCGAGCAATGATTCGAGTTTGAACCTCTAGTGAAGCGTTAATGTGCTGTATGTGCTGTTTTCTGTGTTTGTTTTATTCCACCTCTACCCTCCTTGCTAACTGGACCTCGCCTGTATTTATCCTGGCATTCATTGTCTTTATGTCTGTCACACAAAATGCAAGCCAAAAACCTCTTCTGTTGTGCTGCAATTAGGTGGAATCGGGTGAGGCCAGTTCAAATTTGCCATTCTCTCTTTCAGCACAGAGCAACACCTCAGTCTTTGCCTCTTTTTCAGCTGCTCTCTCTTTGAACTTTATTCTCTGCTGAGGTGTTGCGCTCTCTCTCTCTCTCTCTCCCCCAACACTTCCATCTTCGTTATGGGCGTCTGCTTAATGCTGCCAGGCCCAGTGAATTAAAGGGAGGCTTGATGTTCAGCTCAAAACACGCACCTTGCTGTACCACACCCATCGTCTTGGAGATATGTCATGTCCCTGTCACTTTCTAAATAGCCTCATAGCTCATTGTTTTACGGAGAGGGAGAACAAAAAAAAACATGGTAATGTTGGGTTTCTTTGGAAGCTGTGCGTGCAAAACTTCTCATTTTGTATTTGAAGTAATTCAATCAATGTTGAGATGGCCTGAGAGAGATTGGTAAGATGCAAGTGTCTCCCTGGCTCCCCCTCCCCCTACACCTTTCTCCTCGAATCCCTTTCAGCAGCCTCCACACCTCCTCTTTCCTTATCAAAGCCCCATCCATCAAACACGGAGAGGTGCTGCTGCTTTCAGGGCGAGTGGGTAATGGGACTCTCTTTCTCTCTTTTTTTTGTGCGGCCTCAAATGCTGCCATGCATGTGTCACGCCGGCACCTACGCACCGAAACCCGCAGCCAGGTTTACTACGGGGCAAGGAATGTTTGCGTGTGGGAGACGCGACAAGGGTATTCTCGACAGGGAGCGAGAAGAATGGACGCAACAAAATGCCGCCAAGGGAAATAATGAATCCGACACGTAAAAAATGAAAAAATAAAACGTAGCTTAAGAGGCTTTGAACATGATTCCTCTGTCAAAATATCATGGGCTCAAGTATCCCATGCGTTCATCAACAGCCACTTTAAACTGCGGAGTTATTCATTCTAGAAGCTTCCTCAATAAAGGCAGACGCTGATGAATCAAGCTCTTTCAGCCTCTGATCACAATCCGGAGGCGATAAAAATAATGTTTTCTTTTCACGTTGGGAACTCGTAATTGCTGATTATCAACTTCTATGCGAAGGCCGCATTGTTCTCCAGAACGAGAAAGTCAAACACTTAAATACCACTTATGAAATCACCGCAGCATTGCTTCAATATCCCTCTCTTCTTCCCCCCCCCCCCGACAATGGAAAACACTGTTGACTGCCTTCCGTCTCGACTAAATCTCTCCAGGCCCCACAAACAAGTGAATAAAATGAAGCAGTGGTGATTTTCAGGCGGCGGCGCTGCAGGCGTAATCATATTTAAAAAAAATATGGTTGGATATATGAGGTGCACGCTGCTTGGATATAATGCTGGCTTTTCTTTGTTGCACTCAAAGAGATGAGAGGGAGAAAGAGTTCTGTGAGAGGGGAAAAGGACATGTACAGTAGTAGCACACACCGTACATCCCTCTCATCTCATCTCCCTTCCTTACCTTCCCGGTTACAGCCCCGAGTTGTATCCCGTACAAGACGGGTGCAACAGAAAGGTGGCGTCGCCTGTGGCGCTGTGTGTGTGTGAGTTAATGTGCACTGATGAATGCTAGCATGTCTCCTCGCTGTCCCCTGTGTGTGTATACAAGGTGTGTGTGTTTTCGCTCACACACACACACACACACACACACACACACACACACAGAGGTCCGGAGCCGTGGCCACCTCATTAGCCTGAGCCTCATTACGGGATTTTTTTTTGTCTCTCTGCTTCTCAGGCCGCTGGTTCTGCGTGTGACAGGACCTCCCAGAAGCACCGGAATAATAAGATAAACCTAACCTCGTATAAATGGAGGGATATCAAGTTAATTTCCGTGTTAAGTTGCATTGGGAAGCCGCGCCGATCGTCCCCTTCAGGCCGGCCGACGCGACTCCTCGCACCGCTGCAGAGACAAAAGTGACTTGCACCGCATTTACATTTTAAGTATTTATTAAGTAACTGTTATCCGAAGCAGCTCACAGCGATTTAGTAGTTAAGGACTCCAGTAATGTACGCCTCGCCGTATGGTTTTCCTAATGTGCCCTAACTACCGCCCGGTTGTTGTTCTATCAAACATACTGCTTAGCAGGGTTTTTAGATAATTATTTCGTATATCCCTTAAAACGCTCGAATGTAACAGGAAATGCTTCGTTCAGTAGCACTAGCAGAGCGGAGCAACGAGTGTGTGTGTGTGTGCGTGTGTGTGTGCCATGCCAGACCATGCAGTGTGCTGTAGCGAGGGTTTCCCCCGTTTCAAACTCCCAGGCAGACAAACTTTAACTCTGAACTTGTCTTTCAAGCCACTGCGATTTCATTTTTAACGGACACTCGTCCCAACAATTTGATGGCGCTAGCGCCCATCTCTGCCCAAAAGCAGATGGGAGAGGGAGGGGGAGGGGGGGGAACACTGCTAGGTGAAGTGGTGTGTGTGGTGCAGCAGGTCTCACCTCTTGGACAGAAGCTTGTTGAAAGAGAGGAATAAGAGGATTAGTTCTCGGTATGTCAATGTGAATCTGCAGAGAGAGAAAGAGAGAAAACAAAAAGACAAACACTGAAGCAACGGGCAGGTTAGCACAGATCTGGGCATCACAGAGACGGAGGGAGAGAGAGAGAGAGCATCAGTTAGTGGATTGGTGTCCTTGACTGAATGCCGACGGGGCTTCCTGTGATCTGAAATGGATAGCAGCGGTGGTCTTGAATGCAAGTGGGCAGATTTGGAGACGCCTCTTGCGACATCATGCGCACGGGAGTACATTTTGTGCGTGCCGGACCGCGTTCACACCATTTCAGAGTGTCTGCCCCGCAGACGGACGATAGGACAGGCGGACAGATTCATCAGAAGGGAGCCAGGCGGATTGCAGGGCGGCGGCGGCTGGGGCCAAGCCGGCCGGAGCCAAGCCGGCCAGGACCGGACGGGGGGGATGGGCCGTTTAGTGAGAGTGTGCGCGGCTTGTTGCTGTCTGCTCGGTCAGCCTTACCTCTGTCACCTTTGGCTGCAGCACCAAAGACTCAGGGCTCATCCTGGGAATGTCTATGTGGATCTGACATTGGAGAGAAGGGTGTCAGAGAGACGCACGCACACACACACACACACACTTATACTTAAGAGTAGCAACGTAGTCGTCCCCCTACATGTACTTGTCCTCAATGTTCAACATTTAAACCTGTTTTTGGTCAGCTGTAAGACCTCTCCAGATGTTCCCAGGCAGGGGTTTGAACCCAAAATGAGACGTAAATCTGACATAAAGGGAAATTCTGCCATTTTTCAACATGGGTCATAATCTCCCTTCTCACTAATGTATAGACCCATGCAGTTAGCCACAATGGGTAATTAAGGGGTGAATAAGCCTGTAACATAACAAGGCTCTGCCACCGAGAGTGTGTTTAAGGAGGATTACTGAAGTCTCTTTGCCTCCTAGTGGGGACACAAAGACTGTTTGATGCCGTCTTAACAGCACAACTCAATCAACTCCAGTCTACTTCTTCTGTTAGCCGAAATAAAGCTAGAATCTGTTTTTCCAACACTTTCTCTTGGGATGGAACTAAACAGCAGCAGTATTTCAAAAAGCTTGCCGTGCAGGCTGGGACTTCTACAATGGCTACATCCATATGCATAAAACACACACACACACACACACACGCACAAGCTGTTTGGGCAACTTCCCAACGACATAAACAGATATATATATATATATATATATATAAAAGAGACAGATGGAGAGACACAAGAAGAGACACTAGCTACGGGGACAGATGGGGAGATTTGCACCAGCTGACGGACCAGCTAATATGAGCACACACACGCAGACAAACATAAGACATATAGATACATGTAATGTGTGCAAATACATCTTCAGCCACTTAAACATCATATACACGACACAAAACATATACAAACCCACCGCCGTGTGCAATATGAGTGCCAAACCGACATATGTGCAAACACACGTAATCTCTCTCTCTCTCTCTCACTCACTCACTCACTCACTCACTCACACACGGGGGGGAGAAAATCACTGCACAGTCCGTCAACACAAACAGTGCTGGAACAGGCAGAATTTGGCAGAAAAAGAAGCATCAAGACGCGATCCAAACAGCCATCAAAACACAGTATGCCAGCTTTCTGGCACAGGGCGCAGCAGATCAATGGGAAATTGGACGGAATATGAGAAATGTGTGGGGTGGTTGTTGTTTTTTTGCTATTGACAGCCCAGTTTGATGTTTCTTATCGGCTTGAAATGAATGGGAAGTAGTCGAGTGTTAAAATGAAAGCTTGTGTGAGGTGGTGAGAGAGAGAGAGCGAGAGACAGATAAACAGACGGAGATAGAGAGAGAGAGAGAGAGACAAAAAAAGTAGATATTATTTTCAAAGCCAAAGAAAAGTGTTCATTTAAGCCGCTCTCTGAAGCTCGCGGCTGGCTGTCTCTGCAAAGCTCGACCACGTTCCCGCCGTGTCAACACGGGCGGACAAATGGACAGCAGCTCTGCGTGTACATAAAGGAGGAAGAGGAAGAGCACGGGCCTGGTTCCAGTAATCTTGTCTGCAGATCCTGTCAACACACACACACACACACACACACAAGCAGCCACGTGTCCCGTCTGTACTGAGAGAATACATTAGTGATGAGAAGCTGTTCCTGTAATTGAAAATGGAAATTTTTCAAGTTTCTTTCATTCAGTCCTTCAGGTTCTGGGATTCAGACGTGTGTTTCATCAATTATTTTAAACACAGAACGAGTAAACAGGACCCGAGAGCGTGCGAGTGTATGCGCATACATACACATAGATATATATATATATATATATATATATACACCTGTCTGTATGTGTCCTGATGGTGCTCGTCGTTGCGGGAGTCATAGTATTGCTGGATGAAGCCGAAATATTCTTGTCTCTTCCTCTGCAGGACGCTCTCTCTTCTCTCTGCATTAGCTGGTAGGTAACCCTGGAGGAGGGTGAGAGAGAGAAAGAGTCAATAAAAAAAAAAGAAAGATTGTTGTTACTATAAATCATCAGTCAATCAGTTCTCGCTGCGCGTCTCCTTGTGTCCAGTCTTTACGCTAAGCTAGCCGTCGTCTGTGAGCTATTTCACCGGCTTTCGTGAGAGCCGCATGGCTTCTCTCATAGAACTCTCAGTGAGAATGTATAGAAGTTATTCCTCATGTCAAATGTCTTACAATGTGATTCATGTAGAGCTGCGGAAAAAAATCTTCATACTGCGAAATTGAGACGTGGAAAAATGAAATTGTCTGCAAGAAACCATTTGTTGCTGTTATTATATTTTCTTTGTATTAATGTTTTTATCAATTGTACTGTTTCATCCGTGTTCAAATTTATAATGTATTTTCACTGGCTATCTATTGTTACATTACCTTGCGGTTTATTTTGTTATATAAATAAATAAAGCTATTATTTGCTTCTTTTATATATACTTTATCATTAATCTGGTTCTTTAAAATTGCCCTTCAATAACGTAACTATCAACATGTATTAATCCTTAAAACATCGCACTTATTCTAGTACAGGCCCTTGTAAACTTTAGCGAGTAGCTGGTAATAGCCTCCGAGCTAATACACCTGTCTATTTGTGACACGGACTCGCTCCCGTGTTCCACATGGGACTCATTAATTCAGCTCGGCGGATACTCAGTAAAACCGTCTTCTCTGAAACCGAATGTTCATTACATGTCGCATCTCTCTCGTAATTATTTGTCTGCCAGCGTACACCGTTTAATGAGCCTCTTGGTCTTAAAAAACCTCGGCTACGAGTTCAATCACAAACCAAACTCCCGGGATTACGCAGTCTGTAAATGATACACTTCACTTTGCAGAGAAAACTTTCTGCTGCTTGACCAAGCCTCTGAGGGGAGGTACCTTTCTGTGTGCGTCTGTGTGCGTGTGTGTGTGTGTGTGTGTGTGTGTGTGTGAGAGAGCTTCTGGGAATGTGTTTGTCAAGACAGTTCATGTGAGCATGCACGCATTTGGGGAAGTGTGTATCCTGCTTGGGCTTATGCAATGAGGAGAAAGTCAACTCCAAACTGAACAACAAATCTATTAAAAGCGAGAGATGGGACCGGGGGGGGGGGCTCTGAAATATTCACACAGTTTAAGTCTTCTAAACAGAACTCAAAAACACGACTGCTGGCTCAAAGGAACTCGTCCCCGTGATGAAAAAAAAAAAAGCAGCACTGTGTGTCGCCGTCAGACCGACAAAAGGCCCTTTTCTCTTCATGTTGTGTATTATACCGTCAGTGCATTTGTTTGTTGCTGTGTAACTGTAAGAGTTCATACATGAATGATATTAGGACGAAAGAGAGTTACAGGTTATTAAATTCAGTTTTCAGGGACCTTAGTTAAAACGGTTTGATTATTTATGACAGTATTTACCACAGTATATATGTATGTGGTTGTGCGTGTCGATTAATCAATTAGTGAGTCGACAGGAAATGAATTGGAACCGTTTTTAGTGATAATAAACTGAATATCTTTGGGTGGAAACAAGACCACCATTTGGTTCCACAAAATAGTTTGACCCCTTCTTTCCCGTCTGCATCATTCAATGTGAGAAGAATTCCTCCTCTCCGATTCCCTGGCCATTGTCTCTTTTTCCCCGTGCTGACCAAAGAGTAGAAGTGCTTTAAGTTCAGCTACATTAGCCGACAAAAGATCCAAGGCCGTCTGCTAAAGAAGACCTGGCGGTGCGGCTGAAAGCTCCAAAAAAAGGTCAGGACTGAACCTCCACGCTCAGATCTTAAAAAGAGTTAGCCAGACAGACGCAGTGCTGAGTCTCCTCACCACTCTGTCCGTCTCTTACAATTATTTGTCTTGACTTTCAATTTAAACTGAGCATTTTTTTATGTGTTTTTTCCCTGAGAAACCGTTTGGCTGCTGCTCAGTCACATCTGAGAGCAGATCTGTTTTGGACCAGCTTGAGTGGAATCGCCATCAAACTAAACTCTTCGTCTGCGCCATCACAGACAGACCATGTGTGTGCTATATATATATATATATATATATATATATATATATATATATATATATATGTTTGTTATCTATGTGCATCCTTGTCTTTGTTGTGACTCTGCTGTGACTCTGCTGTTTGTTGGTTTTTTTTGGAAGCTGGCCGCCACTTTTTGGCGAGCCACCAGCGAGCATATCAAGGAAAAAAACTTGCATGTAAACACACACAAAGTATCAATTTTGGGCAACTGTTTAGAGGAAAACCAATGTGCACTCCGCTGCCAAACGAGGGAGAGGAGAGCACGTGCGTGCTGAAGGTTAATGGACACACTGCAGCTGCGTCACTGCTCAACAGGACGCACACTCGGGGATTTGGAGGCCATAAAGAGGACGCAAGCTGTGTCGCACACTCCGCTGTGATTTGAGTTTTTATTAATACTCTTTATCGCTAATAACTGGGTATCGGGAATCAGAAAATATTTCAACGTGTCAGTGGTGGTGTGTGTACCCAGGCTGTACACTGTGCAAAGATAATTGTAACTTCTTTGAACATAATTGTATGTGTTTAATGAATAACTGGGGAGAAGGAAAAAAGGATGTGCGCCTTTCTTTTGGAAAATAGAAAATGAGTGAGTATATCTCACAGTAAAGTGCATTAAGTGCTGAAGATCCAAGTGTAATTACGCTTGAACCTGAGTGACTCATTTCCATTTCCTCTGTGGTCCACTGGTTAAAAAGGGCGAGTGGAGATTTTTTTATTTTTTTTTTTCTGATGGAAGGCAGAAAGTGAAGCATAAATGCGAGACGTCTCCGCATGACCTGCCAGTGGTACAAAATGTGGCAGCGCGAGTGCTTCCTCCTGCCTCTGTTAATCAGTCTACCAAAAACCTCATCTCGCCATTCTTCCTCGCACCAATCCACTCCTCCACCCTTCCATCCCTCTAATGGATCCTCCACTTCAGGAAAAAAAAAAGAAAAGAAAAACATATGCTTGGGGAATCCATTTGGGGGATTTAGATTAAATTGGTTTTTTTTTTTAGTCCTCATGCAATCTAAAGTGATTTGTACTTAGCAGGCGCACATCATTCTGGAAGCAGACTGGAAACAAACCGAAAGCGGAAAGTTGAACAGATAAAACTTCACTTCTTTCTAAAAAACGCTCTCGTCGCTCGTGTCTCTACGTGTCGTGTTTTATACTTACAACTGGTAAACTGAGTTTCACCACATGATTGGAAACATCCACATGAGAAGTGACTTCACACCGTGACTTACTGCAACCTGTACGGCTGAGACGAAGCGCGAGTCTGCGACCGCATGACTTCTTTTTTTTTTTTTTTACCTCAAATGTATTCAGAAACTTATATTTGGCGGATGGTTTTGGTTCGACGATGTTGCCTGGACTGCATCCGAGGCTTTCCGAACTAAATGACCATAACAGCAGAGTGAGAGGTGCATTCACCCAATCAGGTGTCGACGGGTACGGTCTCAAACTTTGCCCGACCATATCGAATGAGCGTGAAACGGTGGTTCGGTCGAAATGAGCTTTCGATTTTGAACCTTGTGCATGTCCAAAAGAAATAAAAAATAAAATAACGACTCTTCGAAAAGGACTTCCTGGTGGCCTGCAGCTGCACCTTTTGAAGCAACACAACTGGGAAATCCTCCTGCTCCCCTGAAGTCACCGTGAACGACGAAGCCGCCATTAACAGAAAACCATACGAATACATGGCCGGACCCGGTGGCTGTTCTCAGGCCGCGGTTGTAAAGGACCCTTCGGCCGACTAGCGGCTCGTCTTCTGGGGTTTTGGGTTCAACGGTTTCTTCCGAACTGACCTGTGAGATAAGTTACTGTTAACACATTTTAAATTGTTTGAATTTGACCACATGGCTTTAATGTGGTACATTCCTCACAAAGACGGTCAATAAACAAATTCCTCCTTTATAATCCAGAAGAGGATCAGATGCGTTGTCACTCAACTTCTCTACTGAAGGTGACCCGTCCATAGAGGTTCTCTTTCTTCTCCTTCCGGCTGTATTAATGCTCTAAGTGTATCATATATAGAACATTTAACAGATAGAGTAGGAGTGCATTCCCCTGCACATATACAAACTAAAGATACACAAAGGCAATATATTACTTTGCATCCGTTTACAAAAAGCACTTTGCTCAGGTCTGAGACGTGGCTGTTGTGTGGAGACGGCGGATCTGCAATCCTCCTAAATTACAGTGGAAGTGTAAAAAGGCAAAAGGAACTAAACGCTCTCTCCGAGGTGTGAGATGCCTCTTAAGACTGCGCAAACATTCTCGTCTGCCTCACTTAAAAAATAAAGTTCAAAATCATTGCTCCTTTCTCTCAGGCGATAGGATGATGTGCGCTGTTGTGAGGTAACAGTTAAGCGTAACAATATCTGAATCTGTCCCCGACACGTCTCATATAAGCCTTCAGCTTTGTCAATAATTCCACAGCCAGTTGGTTTTCTACTCGTCTCCCACTTCACATTTAACAGCCACACTCCATAAGCAAATGTACATACTGCCCACGGGGCGGACGTTCTTTCACAAAGCAGAAAAAAAAAAAAAAAAAGAAAAAGCCATTTCATTTCTTCGTTCTCCTTCGGGCTCGGACGCAAAAGCGCTCTTCAAAATAATGAAATAAAACGGTTATTATTTCCGAAATAATAGAAAAGTTCAACCGGGTGTGTTTTCGAAAAAAAGCTGGGGGCAACCTGTGGAGCCTCTCCATCAAATAAGGAGACTGGGGTAGATGGAGCTATGCAGGGAGGCGAGTCATCGCTGTCGTTGGGGAAGTTTGTTTTTGTTTTTATGCTTTTTAATTTCCACACAAACCAATAACAGTTTAAGACAGTTAAGCACGTTTTCTGTGAATGCAGAGCGCTGGGGGAGCATCACCGAGCTCTAAACTGAGGGGGGGAGCTGTTTCTCGTCTATGGCAGGTAAAAAAAAAAGAAGAAGAAGAGTGTGCACGCTGGTGGAGCAGGAGAAGGGCACAAGGGACACCACTGGAGTGAAGTATTATTAGGTGCCTCTGCCAAGTTCATGGAATACAAGCGTGGCCTGAGAGAGAGAGTGTGCGTGTGTGCGTGCGTGTCGGACGGAGAATAGATTTTCCGAGCCTGATCCCTCCTATCTATTTCTCCACTGGATCATGCCACAGACAGGACGGAGAAGGCAGTCAAGTCTTATGACACTTCAGAAGATATGATTGCTTTTGACACTGTGCCCACTTTTCGCTTTAATCCGAACCTTGGATTTAACCCGGAGGGACAATTCTCGCCGCGCGAGGCCCTAGAAATGCATCGAAAGCCTGACACTTAATCTCAGAAATGGATCTCGAGTTTATGAAGGGTCAAAACGCCCCCCCCCCCCCCCCCACCCCAATATATGTTTGTCAAAGTCATCTTGGACATACACGTCCTCAATAAAACAAAAAGATAAAATGTCCCGGCTTGGATGTTGGATAGCAAAGCACCCGCTTGGCTCTTGTAACAAAACAGCTTGTAAATCAAATACCGAAGCTCGAAAGAACTACTGCAAGGCTTTGTGCCTTCATAGCTTCGAGTAGACGCAACAGATGAGTGAACTACTGCAGCAGTACAAGGCTAGAA